CCCCCCAAACAAAGGAACATGTTCTAAAATAGATACATTTTTCACATGCCTTTAGTTGTCTGCAGTGCTACTATACCTATATAGGGTAGATATCTGAATAAGCTATTTTTCAGCATTTATAAAAGCCCTTTCACGAACATCAACAACCCTTTGCAACAACCTCCTCTGTTTTCTCTCCCTATTAAATGCATCATGACTCACTGATACCCCCAAGCTAGCCATCTTGAACACCCTCAATTTCCTCATCCCATCCTCTAACCAAATGCAGTCAACTCTTTTTCCTCCCAAGTGTCTCTAACCTGGTCCTTCTTATTTTTGCCTACTCTACAAGAATCTTTTTAAAGACAAAGTATATGTGAACTGCTGTATGGAAAGTGAATTTGCTCTATAAATCTTCACCCAAATCACAATTAAAAAAAAAAAAATCTTTTTTAAAAAGGAGTAGCATGTTATCGTCTTCAGAAATGCCCCCCAATACTTCTGCATCCTGTTGGAGACTTTCAGAGTGCCAAATGTGGCAATCTTCCTTATCCTACCAGTCCATTTATGAGGCCCTTAGCTAAAGTTACCAGTAACTAAAGTTAAAGCTAAAATTACCCTCTTCCCCTAGAGTCAAATTCATTTTCTGACAATCATTCTCTAAAATTCTATGTTCACTTGGCTTCTGCAAAATCACCCTACTGTAATTTGTCCCCATTTCCCACAATCTTTCCTTAGCCTCTTTCATGACCTGTGGGACATATATCACTCGCCAACATTTTCAGCCTCTCAGGTTTCCTGGGACACTGCCATCCCAGTTGTGGAATGTGCTACTGCTTTGGTGGTAACTGTGTGAATCTGAAGAAATGTGCCTCACTCCACAAATCCTACCACCACAGTCCACTTAGGACATATGTGTCCCACATACTTACATCAAAATCTATTACTACCTCAAAATTTTTTCCCTTAATTTCAGCATGACTTCCATTACTGAAAATATGATTATTATATAAAAAAAATTCATAACAGAAAATAATTCTGTCATGAAAGGGTTAGATGACATTGTTGCCCAGGATTCTGTCTTTATTACTCTGCAACTCTCTCTGGTGAAACCATTCCTGTGGCTTTTACTAGTTGTTGTTGTTGTTGTTGTTATGTGCTGTCGAGTCGGCCCCGACTCATAGCGACCCCTCCTTGGGTTTCCGAGGCAGTATCACTACGGAAGTAGGATTGCCCAACCTTCCTTCCGAGGAGTGGCTGGTGGGTTTGAACCGCCAGCCGTCTGGTTAGCAGGCAAGTGACTTAGCCACTATGCTACCAGAGCTCCCGCTTTTACTAGTATCCGTGTCTAATTAGTTACAAACTTATCATCTCCAGCCCTCTCTCTCCTGACTTTCATATCCAGATTTTCTGTCTACTCAATATCATCATCTAGTCTGCACAGCAATTCCACACTCAGTATGCTGCCTATCAAATCTGCTTTTTCTACTATATTTCTTATC